AAACCTCAGCAATTCCAACACCCTTCAAGCTAGCCTCAGGGTATGACTACACTGTGATTGCAGCTTGTGTACATACCCAAGAGTGCTTTAAACTAGCTAGTTTTGATTTTAACAGCAGTGGGCTGCTGTGGCAATAGGATCTGATACTGAGTACTCATCTCAAGGTCTAAGGTAGACTCGGTGAAGTCCATACAGCTGCTACTAGTAGCTAGGTAGTGTCTAGATAGCTGTAAAGTAAAAAAAAAACAAACACCCTCATATTTTCTTGGCAAAACAAAGGAAATGCTTAGGACTGACAAGTCCAGGCTTGTCAGTTTGCAGTTAGGATGAACAGTATTTCTCTTACTCAAGTTATTTCTGTGATGTATTTTGTGGTATGTTTCCTCCAAGCTCTTCTTTCTTTTGGAAGGGGAGGAGGTGGGGGGTAGGTGTAGGCAGGACTTGACATTTTCAAGCTATTGAGACCTTAATAATAGCTTTGATGGGACTTCCACCTGAGTAAGATCTGAAGGAAAACTCATTATGGCAGATTTCAAGTACTGGCTAAAAGGAAATGGGGTTCAAGTACATTTGGCAATAATACCCAGGTAGCTAAGAAGGCCCAGAATATAACATAATGTATGGAAAACACTACGCTCTCAATAAAAAAAAAAAAAAAATTCTTCTTTTGAAAATAAAGAAGTGGATGATACCGGATGCAGGAAGAAGATTCTATAAAGGTTTAATTTAAAAACCTTCAGCCTCCTGTCAGGTTCTCTCCCTAGTGTTATTTTACTTTTATACCAGTACAGCTCCACTGAAACCGGTAGAGTTTACCCATGTAAAAATGGTAGAGCATTGTGAAGTATCATTCCTAGGAATCAGTTTATTTTTTTGCTACTGCACACCAAACACACTACAGACACATGTGCTTTCCAGCTGAATTTGCTCTGGCAATTTAAGGAGAATAAAAGGATGGAAAACCCCGTACCCCCACTGCCCCCACTATACACACCCCTGTAGCCAAATGCAATCTAGCCTCATATTTATACAGAAACCCTCACAGATTAATGACTGGTAAAATAGGAAACTAAAGTGTTTAATGAATGAACTGCGAGGTATCTAATCACGTAGCTAACCCCTCTGCTCTGCATCATAAATGGTTGCCCTGTCACCTGTTTATTCGATATCATATAGAGACACAGAAGAGAGGCATCCAGGTTTCTCAGAGCCCAGTGGAAAGCCCTATTGCAGGGGTGGCCAACCTGTGGCACGTGTGCCCCAAGTAACATAGGCAGTCTCTGAGCATTGGTACACTGAGAAGGGGACAGGTAGCACAGGACAGATCGGACAGGGAGACGAAACCAGAACAGCAGAATGGGCAGGGGACAGAGCTCAGAATAGTACCTGGGCAGGGTGCAGCATTTACCGGGTGGCACATCTGCCAAAAAAAAATTGGGCCACACTACCCTATTGGATCTCCTGTAAAGTAACATTAGTATTTTACTTTGCTATTTCTGGGTAGGCTCTGATTTTCCTCCTTAGAAATCCAAGTAAGTGGCATTGATTTCAATGGGAATTACTCATGCCTTGTGACAGGAGGACATGGCTACTAGAATTTTAGTGGTTATAGGAATTTACTGGAAAAATACAATCCAGCTGTGGATTCCTCAGCTACATATAGGTTTTTTCGAGGTGCCAGCACACACAGTAAAGCCCTGGTACAAATTATAATTTGGAACAAACCACTTCTGCCTGTGCAGAAGCAGTCCACGCACTGCCCACTGCTGCCAATGCACAGGAAGATCTGTTGCAATTTCTCTTCTCTATTCTTCTCCATTGTTTGTTCCTAATAAGACCACATTTTGTGAAAAAAAAACCCAAGAAAAAAACAAAACAAACAACGCCCCCAACAACAAATAAAGACAGCTCCAGTGATCAGAAAAGATGATTCCTTTGTTACTGGCTATCTAACCATTTCTCTGACATCCTCCAGAAACTGGCCTGTCCCTGGCTTTCTATACTTAATATTCCTCTCCAAAAATCTCAAAGGGCTTTTCTCAATAATGAGCGCTGAGGCAGTGATTTTGTTACAGCCATCACCAGAGTACTGGATTGCAAGAGGGTTAAAGGGAATTCAGGTTAACTGTTTCAGCCATCCCTAGAGATCAGCCAGAATGAAAACTCCAGATCTGAACCCTCTGAACTTTGGATCTGGATGTGAACTGAGATCTGAACTTTGCAGGCAAGTCCCCTCCCCTTGCTAGTTATTCCTTGGGGGGTAAAGAGCTTGGCATTCTTAAACTCAGCTGAAGTGAATGAGTTTTGCCTGGTTTCCCCAAAACCTCTAAGGAAGAAGAGGTTACTTGGACCTTAGCCCTGTCCTTTTGAAATGTTCACCGCGCTCAGCAAACCTGAGCCGAGAGCTGGGATTCAAATTCAACTTGAGAGCAGACAGGTTTGGCATTGTTATGTGTTTCTTAATACAAGGTTTGCATTGCTCTAGTTATTCCTTCCCTCCTGTAAGAGCACCCGATGCTGACTAGGCAAGGGCTATCCATTAAAGCTGTCCCTCCTCTTAGCGTAAGGAAAGGGTTCTCTCTCACCAACATGAAGGAGGTATGAGAAATTAATTTTCTCCAGGTGTGGCACCGATGAAAGGAAATGATACTGCTTGCAGATAGCAGAGCTTTGTTAGGGGGAAGAAAGAAAAAGAAGATTAAGGTCAGAGGCGGCAGGAGGTGTGCAACTTCCTTCGCAATATGCTTTATATGAAACAGGGGTCACTTCATTCAATACCAGAAATGTTCCAAAACATGAGTAAAGGATAACTGAGCTGGGATTTATGGAGAGGTAATGGGGCTGTCATATCAGGTGGTAAAGAGCTCCTGTCTTACAGAGTGAACCAAACAGGCGGAAGAGAAAAAGCTCCAGCTGAGAGAGATTTCAAAGTGATGGTCTCTGTCCACATGTGTGTAGAAATGTATCCTGACTCCCCTTTCACAGATGCTGAGATGAGTGAGCACAAGGAGACCTCCACCTCCTTCCTAGAGAGTACAAGACCTGTGTCTTACCCGGGGACAGACAGAAAGCTAGTCTCATACACACCATTACAGTTTGGTTAAAAACTAGAATCAAACTGAAAATAAAAGATCTTGAGCTAGGTGCCCAAGTGCGTCCATGACATTGTACTGTCAGGTCAGGTATCTACATTGCCTCCATAGCTGCAGCATCCAAACCATTATAGCATGTTTCCACACATCTATGAAGCAGAAAAGTGCTACCATGCCATTTTACCTAAATGCCAGCTAAAATTGTTATTAATAATGCCCTAACCACCAAACAATATGCTGGTTTGAAATGGGACTTCCCATTCCACCACTCTTGTACAGCTGGCCTGCTGGGAGGGAGCCTGACTCTGAGGTCTGTAGACCCATAGCTCATGAAAACACCCTTCCTATCTAAGGTCCAGTTAAGAGGACTGTCAGCGAGAGGTCTGTATTGTATTCAAAACAAAAGTACATAGGAACAGGACTCTGAATTCAAAGGTTTTTAATTTTTTTTTTTTCCACATTTCATTATGAACTCAAAATTGGGCCTATTTCTGTGGGAACTTGTGCTAAGGTATGCATATTTTGCAGGCAAGCCAGTCCCATTTTCCAGTGAGAAGGGGCCAGTTTTCAGGAAAAGATGCTTTCACAGCAAAACCATGGGAAAAGTCATAATTTCCCAGGTTTCCAATATGCGAACAGTACTTCTACTTTAAGTGCCAGTAATTGTTGCAAATTAACACTCTAGTCCAGGAACGTATTTAAGCAGATGCTTAACTTTCAGCACGAGTAGTTCCAATGATATCCATGGAGTTTTGTTTTTAATGCGCTATTGTTAATTAAGCTGAATTCGTGTGAGCAGAGAGACAATTTGCATTCTCCGAGTAGTAGAATTGGACTATCAAAGGGCAGTTTCCTACAATTACTAGATTGTTTAGAAGACTATAATGATGCACTCTTCCTTGATATCAGACAAAGTAATTAGATCATCTCTTCTAAATTAGCATGCATTTTTCTCAGCAGGTTAATTCCTTTTATCTGGTACTCATTTTCAAAAGAGCTTCATGGCAGTCCTGGGGAACAGTGAATAATTTCTAAGGAATTATTTATTCAAGAGATGTTGCGCCTTTTCTGTTTATACAATGCCTGTGAACACACCATGGATTCTCTGAAGTTATTAGGGAAGCAAGATTTGTGATTTGCGAGGGAATATTGGACCAACATTTGGACTTATTAAAATTGCTTTTTAAAGTGTTGTTTAACATCGTGTTTGGCTGGAATTGGTCATGAAGGTTGCAAGGTGATATTTGTAAACCCTCATTACAAGAGCATAACTCTTCTAATCAGCCTTCTGGTGCAACATTTCACTTATGGTAAAATTCTCCCTTACTTTCTACAGATCAGTGCAAGGCACGTGGACCCTGCATGTCCCATTGAAGACTACAAGCATTTGTGCTAGTAAAATTTGATTGAAAAAATAAATATAGAAAGGAATGAGATGGTGGCTAAAATAAATTCATTAATAAATCTAAACATGCATCTGCACTCTTGCTTTTCAGCATTCCTTCAACTCTACATGCTTTTATAAATGTCCCTGCCAGAGCACTGAAAATAAACTCTACCACACATTTCTTTCAAAACGTATTATTCCAAGTGAACGTCATCACATTTCTCTCAGAGCCTTCTATTGGGGTATCTTTAGAACCTCAGAAAGTCCAGAGGTGCAGGATTAAGCAAATTATCTAAATGCTTTGCATCTGCCGATCTAGGTGGGAAGTCTGAAGATGTAAATCTGTTCCATGGGTTTGTGGCATAATTCCATACGTAAACTACAAGTGTGGCCTCTGTTGGCGATATTCTGATCATTTAAGTAGGTAAGAAACTCATCTTAACATGAAACATAACATTGTAAAGAGAGAACTCTATTTTTTCCAAACCATTTTGTCTATTCCTCCATCTAGGGGTACTTACATGTCCACAAATCTCCTGTTGAGGTTTGAGATGATGAATGGAGAGCCAGTCAGGAAAGGAGGGTCCCGGATCACCTTATATTGGATGGGTTTGCAGTCTGCACACAATAGGCTCTGAGGGATGGAGCTCAGCATAGCCGCATCAATCTCCAGATGCTCATCCAAAGTGTAGATCTGGATGCCATACACTTCCTCGCCCACCTGCTTGGCATCCAACTTGATAGTCAGGGGGATGTCACAGAAGACATTTTGAGGCCCCAGAGAGATGTTCTTCCCACTGGTGCTGAGCAGCTTGATGTCATTCACTGCTCCGCTCGAGTCCCAGTCTGGGGAGACAAATGTCACCCAGATAGTGAGGGACTCTGGAATCAGAGGATAGTGGAACTCCAGCTGCAGGTAGCAGCCCTGAGGTTCAGGACAGGCTGGTGGCACCGTGTGCTGATTGACTGCCGAGTTGGGACTCCAAGTCCGGACACTGGATTTACAAGGTTGCTCTACGTCAGGATGACCTGAAAGAAAAGAATAGCAAAGAAAAAAGATAGAGAGAAGGGAAGTTAGAGAACATGGGCCAGCACTGACTACAGGACAAACTGTGAATTCAGATGGCAGGGAGAAAAGATACCTGGATGGAGAGAAAGTTGAGAGAGAAGGACCTAGGACTGCACACTATATTTCAGAAGGAGCTGGAAATAGTCTGCTCAACCTGGCAGCGCAGGATTGTTTCCTACTGTACAAACAAGCCAGGTTCATCAGTGTATTTTGGCCACATGAAAGAGCCCTAAACCCAGCTGAAAGGGCCAGCTGAACCAGGTTTTTGGTACCCTTGCGTCAACAGAGCAGCACAAAGCAACTGAAGCATGCCAGATAAACTGGCCTCATATTTTTCATTTCTGTTGCTTCATCCAATTGCAACTGAAAGGGTTTCTATCCCTTTCCCGTGGGTGGCTATTCTACAGTAGACTCAAACTGCCTGATAGCTAGTTGCAGCTCTCCTTACTTTAATCTCACCCCATTACTTCTAGTCCTGTTCTCTCACTCAGAAAGATTTCCTTTCTCTGTGTAGAAACTAAGGAAAGAAGAAAAAACATTGGATATTTCTGAAAGGCAGATTCATCATGCTGTAGTAAGGGTGCTATATACAATAGGGCTCTTTGGGTGAAAATCATTCCTGTGCAGAGGGTCCGTACAAGCTTAATGCCATCTTGTGTAAGCCCTATTTTTTGGACACAAGTAAAGTACAGACCTTGTGCTGGCTCTATGGACTCATTGTGATGAAACAACTAGAACTTGTATTTTTAAATTTCTCACGATTGGCTTTGTTCAGCTACACAGGAGGTATTACTAAAAGCTAATGAAAACCACAATGCTTGCTGGGCTCCCAAATACTATGGTAACATTACAATCTGGCATAAAGTCATGTACTGAAAGATCCAGAGAGGTCGAATGGGTGGAACAGTCGGTAACAGAATCCAGTGCTAGCTATAAATTCCCTCTTCCTTCCCAAATAACCACATGGAAAGGGAGCAAGAAGGACAGGGAAAAGACAAAGCTGAGGAAAGGAGGAAGGGAAAGGAATGAAAAGAAAAGAAAAGAAAGAAGTGAAGGAACAGAGAGAGAGGGAGCAAGAGAGTACAGCCGGATGTAGCAGAGCAAGGAAGCAAGGTAAACAAAGCATTGGGCAAACCCGAGCAAGAGAAGAAATTAATCCTAATTTAAAGACAAAAGGCTATGCATGAAGTTTATTTTCATTGTTTGCAGTCTACTGAAGTGTTAAAACTGTGCTTTATATTCCTGAAGATGGGCAATTTTAGGACTCTTCTGGACATGCAAGAGGAGCCTGGTTACAGAATGCTTTGCCTGCATCCAGTACAGTCCTTTTGGAGGTCCAAAACATAGCACCCTTTGCCTCTTTATTCTTCACATGATCCTATGCATCCTTTTGCTCTTTCATACATACTACTACGTAGCAAGAATGCCACGAAACTCAGGCAGCAACAGAGACATAAGCTCAAACAGCAGTGACGTCTTTTGAAGGAAGTCAGGGCTCTGTTTCACACGCTGTACTTTTTTTTTTTCCCTGGGAGAATTACAAGTATTCAGTGTTTAATCAATCTGAGTAGCCAATGCACCATCCAGCTTACATTATCTCACAACAGTTGTTGCTGTGTGTGTCTGCAGGTGGCCAGGCTGTACAGTTACTTTGTCATGGACACACATCCAGCTCCCAACAACAGCACAAAGACGGCTTTTTTAACCCTCAACTCTCAAGGCAATTTAGAAAGGCTGGTAAGCATTACACTTGCCATCTGGCTAACGCAGAAACTGGGGTGCTGGATCTACGTTTTCAGGAACAGCCCACTGACCTTGAAGTCCTAAGATTTGGATACATCGGAGGCAACTCACTTTGCCCATAGTGGGACTTGAGAGTGTTCAGCTCCTCTGAAAAGCAGGTTCAATTTGGCCCCTCTTTCAAAAATACTGGTCTAATGCCACAATGTTTGCAAGGTCAGCATCAGAAGCAGTGTTTACGGTTTCAAAATCCAGAGCCCCTTTTACTGGATTACACTGCCTTTCTCCCATTCACTCTCTCTCCTTCCTTCCCCTTTTCTTTCCCCTAGTTTTTAAATCCCCTATAATGCTGCCACACACCCTCCTTTTTGTACAAAAGAGGCACATCCTCAAAAAGGATGCAAGTTGCTTTTGTATGGACTGCCAGCTCTACGTCTGTTTAACACTTAAGCTGTCAGTGGCCTTAAGTGGTGCAGAGACTCTGTGCTGGTCCTTTGCACATGGCTGGATTTCATTCAAACTGCAGGGCATTTAATACAGTACATTAATCCCTATTAAGTAACAGTGGTTCTGACGGACAACATTGTATACTTGACTACAGCCTTGCATAGTTTGAAAGCTTAAGCCAAAATATCACTGTTAAAGCTCTAAAGAATCCCTTTCTGATTATGGGCAGTCAGTGTTCAATGGGCTTAGATAAGGAATTTGCATGTCATTAGAGAAGAGGAGCAGAACCTTATTTCACACGCCTTCCAATTTTCAGAGTGGGGTAAATACTGTAAAAGGAAAAAAAAATGTTTGTTTGCACGGTAAGCGCATTTGCTTCAGGTGTGTTTGTGTTCAGCTCCTGCAAATACTCTGGAACATGACAAGACTGGCAGGAAGTATCAAAGAAACATCCGATTCTACTCAAGTGTTGCAGAAAGCACACAAAGACTGAATTTCAGATTTGCTTGTATGAGTAACGGTAACAAGTCCTGACTCTGTAAATTATGCTTATTTACCCAGGGCAAAGGAACCTCCTATGTAACTTCTGTATCCAATCGAGACGACTCCAATTTCAAATATGGAACAGGCTGCTCTTGAGCCAAGTATTAGCCACTGCCAGAGCATAAACTAGTGGTCTGATAAGTCCATGGAATAAAGGCAAAACTATAGTTAGAGCAGGGGTGGATCCAGAGGGGATACGATGGCATGGTCACGTTCTCTTTTAGTCATGCCATCTGTGAGCTGTCCATCCAGGTCTGGCTGAAACCGCTGATTACATGTATCTGGAGCCTGGAGGGTATGCACTACCACCGCTGCTCATCCCCTCCTTCCCTTGCTGCTCAACTGAGTGGGAAGGAGGAGGGAGGGGAAGGGCAAACGGCAGCAACATTCACCCCCTGGACTCAGGAGCCAGTTGAAAGTGGGAGTCCAGCCAGACCCCTCCTTGATTAGCTGGTGCAAAGTTCCAGCAGGACCCTGCACTGACCGGGCAGTGAGCTTACTGCATATGCATGACACAGCCAAAAGTTGGAGGGCTGCACCACCTTTCTCCTGTTTCTGTATCAGCTGCTGGGTTAGTCAATACAATGCAGGAAGCCACAACGCACACACACGATGGACTTAAGTCCACACAGTATAGTTAGCTATAGCTATTACTCAGGTTTGAGTATTAACCTCCCTGTCACAAATACCTCTGACTCAAGCTTTTAAGTACTTTTATTTATTCACCTGGCGTTGAGAGTAAGAGCCCAGGCTGGAACTGCCCACTCTGCAGTGAGGATGTAAGCTAAATCATTAAAGAGTGGATAGTCCATCAATGCCACCTCACAACTGCCCCGAAATAAAAAAGATTCTCCTGCAACTAATAAACTGACTGAAGTGCCTCAGTGTAAAGGACCAAGGCATACTATCCTTATATACATGGTGGGTGAAGAAATAGTGAGGATGCAATAACAGAAGCATGGCTCTGCAGAACAGGTATTCACATCCAGCCTAGGCTAACCCTGGTTCTTTGACTTAGCTGCCACCTGGGTTAGCCGTGCAGTGTAGGTGTAGCTAAGAGCACTTAAGGTTTAAAAATGCACCCATTCAATTAGTAGAAGGTTTTGAGGTAGATGAGAGGTGTAGCTGTCTGGTAAGAAGCTGAATGAGGACTTTGACTATTTTCCACAAGTATTATCTCAAATGCTAATGTTAGTTCATTTTGGCCATGCTTGTGGCTCTTTTGCTTTCTGTGAATGTTCAAGAAATGGAGATTTACTCAAATGAATGCTTGCAAACGTGAACTTTAATAAGATTGCATTCAGGGGGTCTTACAGACAGGCAATTTAAAAAGCCAGACAATGACCTAACTGGACTATTTGTAACTAGGACTAAGTACACAAACACAGTTCCTGATTGTAAGAATGACAGAGAATTACAAAGCAAAAACACCACACATGTGGTATATCTTATATATGCTTGGGGAGAGAAATTATTAACATAGTAGCTGGACAGTGTTCCCAAAACCCTTTACCAGAGCTAGAGCACAGCAGCAATTGAATGAGACAGATAAGGATCTGACTGCACCCTTCATAGTTAAGAATATGCAGGCACACTCACTGTGAGAAAAGGAAATTAAATGTAAACTCTACAGCCGGCTAATAAATCTTACAGTAGCCTAGTTTTTCTAGGAATAATGCCTATGGCCAGGCGTGTGAGATCTAGAAGGAAAAGGTTTCAAATTAGAGCTTGCTGGAGAAATTTTGATGGAATTACATATTTCACGGGAATATGCCATTCCACCAAACTCACAAGGCTTTGCAAAAATTAGGTAGATTGTGGCAGAATCTTAAAGGAAAACTTAAGGAATCTTAAAGGAAAACTGGGAAGATGTTTTTAGTAATGTTGAAATGCCCTGTTTTGACACAACATTGTGACTGTCCATTTTTAAAAGACTCATTTTAATTTCTTTTAAAAAATATTTTGCTATATTGTATGCTATAATGCAGAGTTTAAAAAGGACAAATACTATGCATTGAATAAATTAAAATATATTGATCAACTTTAAAAGGTTTCGATTCGTTGTTGCTGTTGTTAGAATAATCCTTAGATGAGAACTTAAACATGCTGATTTTCATTCTGATTCAAAATGAAGCCAGATATAAAAAACCTTTGCTAAATTAAATTTTCATTCTTTATACACTTCTATTTCAAGTGACCCCAAATACTCTATACTTGTTTTTCTGCTCCCTCTCCCTAAAACATTTCCTTAAGACAGTGATTTCTTTATGCCTTCTTTTGCATTATAATAGTTACACTAACCCTGCCATAGAATAGAAACAGTAGCATATGGCATGGTACACACATACACATATAATTATAATAAAAAGCGCATACACATATAGAAGAGATCTAATAAAAGAGGACAGCATCTTAGAATAAATTCTTCAGCCCATCCCCCTCATTCTCCTTTCAAAATGCTTTAGAGAAAAGCAATAAGGATGAGTTGCAAAAGTACCCCAAGGAATAGGTGCAATAACTTTAAGTCAATCCATTCATTTATCTGGGGCCTAATCTTTTACAATTACTCACGATCAGGGATCTGGGTTTTCCGTTTCCCATGGAAAAATGGAAAAACGGCAGAATTTTCACTTCTGCTGTAGAAAAATGTGGATTTTTCATTTTAATAGAGAAACACGTGGATTGTGCTCTTTTGTACAGAGCTCTGTACAGGCTGGCAGAGTTCCAGCATGCAAGGGGCTAGGGGGAGTGGGAGTGGGGTGGTCAGACAGGGGGTAGGTACATGCACATGGCTGCCAGGCACCCTGGAGAGCAGCTCCTACAGGTAAGTGGGGGTGGGATTGAGGCCCCTATAGGGAGGGAGGGAGGCCGGGCAGGGCTGGGGCTGGGGCTGCTGCCCAGCCACGTAGTGCATGGAGCTTGGAGCCCAGGGCTGGAATGCATGGCCTCAGGGCCCCAGTGGGCAGCAGGATGGGGCTGTGGGCAGGGGGAGGCTCCCTGCTGCTGCATGCACTCCCAAGGGGATAGGGGGGAACCCGTGCCCCCCAGGTTGTGTGCAGGGCAGGGGCAGGGGCAGGCTGCCCACTGCAGGTTTAGGCTCCTTGCCTCTCCCCCTGGGGCCTCCATGGCCTGGTGGGCAGAGTAGAGCCAGGCAGGGAAGCTCCTTGCAACCTCTGCAAGCCTGCACTGCCCTGGCAACACACCCCATGCCTGCCTGGCAGCTGTGGGGGTAGAAGTGCAGGGCTGTGCCCCTGGGCTGGGTAGGGGGTGTTAGATGCAGTGAACTAATTAATGCCACTGGAAGATACTACTGTCGGGGACTAGCAGGGTCCCCACTATCTTATGGTGAGATAATTAACTGCAATTAAATGCACATGTAGGTGCTGACTGCAGGCACAAATTATGCCTGGTCAGCCCAGCCAGCAAGGGGGCAGACTCCTTCCTGCTGCCTAGGCACACGGCTGCACACTTTTACCACCCTCTTGCCCTAGCCAGCCTCTCCCCTGCCCGATGCGGCCACCCAGAGCCTGGGGCTGACCCGCTGTGTCCCTGGCCTTGTCATAAACTGCTGTACCCTGGCTCAAATTGCTACTTTCCTGGGTGTCCCCAGGACTAGTTTACTCCTGCTCAAACTGCTCTGGAGTTTATTGCACCCAGTAATAGCAAAAGTAACAGAATCAGGGCCCTGATAAATTAAACGAGCAGTTTCCTGGAACATCTTGTTCTTGAAATGCATGTTCATCTCTCACTGACTTACATGGGAGTTGTACAGACGTGTGTTAACAGAGAGTCTTCAGTCAATGGGTTACTCTGAAGATGAAATTGCTCCTATACATTTCCTGGAGCTTTATTTTGCATTGCACTACATGTGGAGATAATCAGTTTTACCTCACTCTGTCCTTTGCTGTTCTCCTCCTTTGCTACCACTATACCACCTTTTTGTTTCTATAGCAAAAACGTCTCTCCTCCATCCTGACTACTCACCTTCTGCTTCTCTTGGACTCCAGTGTCCTGATGGGTCACATGGCATTGGTGAGGAGGCACTGAAGGCATATTGCACCAGGACTCTTCCTTCCACACACAGATCGCATGCTGATCCCACTTCTCTAGGAGGCCAGGAAAACAGGAAAACACACCAACTTAGTAACAGTTGAATGAGCTGCTTATTCAACTATGCTAAAAGCAACAAGACTAAATTTGACTTAACTCTCTGTCCTTGAGGCACTGGCAAAGAACACTTTCTGGCCTTCTGAAGGTTCAATATAATGGCCTATGAAGTCTACATCCATGTAATGATCATGTGGGATATACAGGTTTCTCTTGCCAACCAAGGTTTTGCCAACCACGGTTTTGAGTATCCACGCTTAATATTCTATACACCATTTTGGTTACCACGGTATACAGTGTTGAGTAACCACGGTTTTTGGTGCCCACGCATCAGCTAGCCACCTGCCATTTCACCTGCCATGCTCTTGCTAGCCACCCATGGCACTCCCATCTCCTCATGCACACTCAGTCTCACGTTGTGCTTCACGCTGTTAACATCCAGTTGCAGGTGCTCTGCATTTTTCTCTCAATTTCTGTGTGATTTTTGCATGTTACCCTTAATTATGACCTCTTGGCGAGTGAGTGGTAAAGGTGAGCAATTTGTGAAGAGAGCAAGGAAAGTGGTGTCCTTGGAAACAAAACTGAGGTTGTTGGGTTGTCTAGCACATGGAGAGAGTATGGTGAATGTAAAAATGATTTTTATATACTGTATGTTCCTTTATTATTTAGATTCAAGTCCCTAACCCCATTTTTCCCATAAGCCTTTTGGTCTTATGAACCACCATTTTTCCAACCACGGGAACTTTCAGGAACCTAACCCCTGCAGTTGGTGAGGGAAACCTGTATGAGGCCAGGCACTTGCAAAACCATGCTGGGTTGTTTGATTTTTTCTTTAGTAAAAGGGGACCAAGCCCTGATGAGAGAGAAGATGCCCAGTCTAGTTCTTCAAGCAGACAAAGTGACATCAGGAGATTTCATTTCTATTCTTGACTAAGCTGTGGCCCTACTAATGACCAGAGGTAAGGCATTAACCTCTCTGAGCTGCAGTTTCCTCATGTATAAAATATGGTTAACATGAGTTCCTTCCACACAGTAATGTGAGCACAGCTTGTTCAATGGGGGAAAAAAAACAACCCACTGATTCACAAATATTACTGCTAATAAATTCATGGGACCAGAAGTACAACTGATGTGAACTAGTGCAGTTCTAGTGACTGCAGTAGTCATACTGATTAGCCTTTGCTGAGGCATTAACCCACTCGTTCCAGTATTCAATGCTCCTGGCAGTCGCATCGCTTTGAAGTATGTATTAAAATATTTGCAAGTCCTGGAAGCATCCCAAATGTCAGTGTGCACCATAATTCATCCAAAGATTCACTAGTTGCTATTTGCTATTTATTGCATGTCTGTTGAGAAAGCGTGCGCGCACCAAAGGCACAACACGCGTAGCAGAGCCAAATAAAACAATTACTTTGCATTCTGCCTCAGATATGTATGGGTATCAATCAGGATTGGTTCAAAACCAAATTTCATCACCACAAATAGATGCTAATTCTTAGTGATTAACAGTTTGACTGGCTCCAGTTGTGAGGCTTATTTGTGCAGTTTTTAGCCAGGTCTTTTGGGATCCTCAGCTAGAAGTTATTGTAAAACTAGGAAATGTCATCCTATATCCGAGCTCTTTGAGAATGGTAAGAAGGGAAGGGCCCTCAGACATATGAATTCAGGCTTTGACCTCTTATGGGGGTCTGGCTTCTCTTTAAATGATGAAAACCCAGATTCACTCTGTTTGCTGTAGGATCTTAGAGCAACACTTATTTGTAGATTGTGGGTGTATCGACACATGCTATTAATGCACAGCAATAAACTGCACAGCTTATTGCTCTGCAGCTTATTGCTCCTGGGCACACTATTTACTGCTAATTATTCAACTGCGCAGTAAATGTCTCATGTAGCCATGTCCAGTGATTTCAAATCTTTTTTTTTTTTTTCCCTCTGGCTTTTTAATTAAGCTGTAAGGGGAATTGTCAGCAAGAAGGACCTGGAGTGAATTCTGGGAGCAATGGGAACAATATTATGTCCATTGACTTCAATGATGCCAGAAGCTCATTTCTGTGGAGAAATAATGCGCATTTTAAACAACAGAGGTAAACAAATGGATGTGTTCACTGAACACTTTGGAGGAAATTAAAAGTAAGTGTGTACAGAGGTCAGAGTAAGGAACAGAATATCCTTTGCTCTGCTTCCTGTTCTCTATTTGACCTCCTGTAGTGCCTGCCACAAGCTATATATTACTTATCCTCTCTGTGTCTCAGTTTACACACCTGCAAAATTGGGTTAATACCACTTACATACTTTACAGGGCATGTCTTAACTACTTTGTTTGTAGTTACTGTTTGAGTAACTAAGAAAGCTTAATTAATTGACATATGTTTATAAGGCCCTAGGCTTATAAACATATAATTAATTGACATATGTTTATAAGGCCTTCACTAGGGAAGTGAAATGTAGCATTATCATCATGCACTTGTTTTTCCCAAAATCTACGGATACGGGGGACAGAACCCCCTGTAGCAGCTCTCTTTCAGTTTCTCAGCAAAGAGACTCCTGCACTTGGTCCTGGATGAGGACTGGGTATCAAAAGCCAAGTTTCCACAATTAGGACTGCTTTTACTCAAATTAGCAGCTATATGGTTTCATCATAGGCTGTCATGGTGGAAAAAAACTGTAGGCTCATGGACAAACATTTTCTTTTACCAGCAACAACTTGGAGGTAAGAAAAATCACAAGGAGTATCATGTGGGAAAGTCTGTGAACACTTTCTTCTTTTTACTTTTCCAGCGTAGGAGCCAAACTCATCCCTGATGTAACTCGTTGGCTAAAAAGGAGTTACGCTGGGGATGACTCTTGGGCTAAAGCTTTTGGTTTGTTTATTCATGCAAACTTTTGCACATAAATCCTATAAGCAGACATGGACATATGAACCGATTAGGGTTTTGCTATTACAGGTTTGTGAAGCTCTGAGCCAGATTTTCTGCTGTCAGGTACCTAATGCAGCCATTTACACCAATGCAAAATGCTACTCAACCAGAATGATAACCAGTCACACTCAAGCTTTCTTCTGCAAATGCCTTCATTCGGTCCTAATGTAGTAAGCTACTGAAAGTGCAGGGTGATGAAGGATCTAGCTTTCTGTGTTATGTGAGAGGCCAAATACTAGGCAGACTCCAGTGGCATGGAGTTCATGGCATAGAGTGGATGTATTCCTGCAAAACAACCGGTCAGTGAAGTGGATATACTGCTTTCTACTGAGACAATTGTCATAACAGTCTCAGTAAGATTAGTGGGCAATCCAACAGCAAATGGGAAATCTGCCATTCTTTCATACCATGGATGGCTGTATTTAGACTGAAGTTTACTTATGTCTATTTGGAGTTCAGAATTCCTTCTGTGTCCTCAGAGGTATTGAAACGTTCCAGGGTGATTTAAAGCAAGCAAAAAAGGAAGCACCCTCGTTTAGATTTAGAAATTGTATTGCACAAAATACTGTGATGAAAAGAACAAGATATTATCACATCCATGGAAACTAATGCACTTGCTTTGATAAACAGTCGGAAGATCAGAAGCACTCAGTGCTTATTACCCAAGCAGGACTCGCTGTAGAGCCCCCCTACAATAACTCTTTACATTCAGCCTATGCATATCAAAGCAGTACCCACATGAATGGATGTTTGACAACAGCAAGATGAAAACAGCTTGGAGATGCAGTCAGGAAATGAATGAGCGTTTTTATCCTCCTTTTGCTTTCATGCAATTTGCTGCTGCTGTTTTGTTCGGGTTTTTTTAATATGTGTGTGTGTGGGACAATCAGATATTATGGAGGCTTTCAGTTCACAAGACTGGTCCTTCCAAACAATAGCTGGGAGCATCAGGAAT